CAACTTCATAATTATTTCAAACATTTTAATAGATGTCATCCAAATTTGGTCTATTTCTTTTAGCTTAATATTCTTGCTTTTTCAAAGTCATGTTCATTTATTTTTCAACCACGCCCAGAAATATGCGGTTACCTTTAATTTCAGAAAAGGATTTAGGGAAAGGCGATCTGGGTCCCCCTTTTAAAACCTACATTTAATGTTAATGCAGACATATTACTTGTTCCAAACCAAACCTTGTCAAGTTTGGGGCCCCCGGGTACCCCTTCTTTCTATAATTCATCCTACATCTACTTTTGAATTTGTTGCTTATTTGTTATTTAGTCTATGAATATCTGTCTATATATTGACAATGAAACCAAATCTTCATGGTCCCACAAAAATGTTGAAAATGTGTACATTTAATTTTTTTTTGTAGCTTCTCTCATATGATAGCAGAACCTTTTTGGTCACTATTCTGTGTTGCGTCTATATATTAATTGTAACACTTTAAAGTGACTGAACAGGTAAAACAAATACTTCTCAAGAAACAGAAAAAGAAGACTTAACTTGGAACAGCACCAGACTATATATGAATAAAAACTCAGATCAGAATAGCATGGATGATATATTTATACATTTTGTACATCATTGTGAATCAGCAAGGAAAGCTATTATTATTAATAGTGCATTTTTTAAAAGTTTATTGGGTTTTTTATTCATATTCTGTTCGAATTTTCACACAATCTGTCAAAAAGGCAAAACTAACTTTACTGAAACTTTCAAGTGTTTCATTCACCAAAACGCTCTTGCCATTCTACCAAAAAAATATCATGCATGATTTTGTGAATGAAAGGGGAAATAAGATCCTAACACAGCGCACCCAAGCATGTCAATTGCGAACTGGCCCAATAATTTATATATCACGACCAGTCAACTGATACTGACATTTTCAGAGAGTACACATCAAAGGAAAAATGCACAAATTACCGATAAATTGTTAAATATGATATCATAGAATTAAATATGTTTTATTACAAAAAAATGTGTTCTCAATCTTGTCGATAGATATGACAGAATGTCATATCAGTACCAAAGACAACTCTCCATCCAAGTCACAATTTGTAAAAGTAAACCATTATAGGTTGAAGTACGGTCTTCAACATGAAGCCTTGGTTGACACCAAACAGCAAGCTATATAGTCCATATCAATCATGACAATAAACATAAACAAACAAAACAACTATCGCTTACTAATAATCCTGACTATATGTATTACATGAACTTGTTGCCATCAGAAATGAAAATATAAATATTCCAACTAACAAAAGCATATGCTTTCACATGCAACCAAATATAAAGTACTAAATGATAATACAAATATGAAGCTCTCATCTATAGAACTTACAAAAAAATGTCAAGATTACAAAACGCAACAAAATAATAAAAAATATAAGAATCCTGGCAGCTGACAACAAGTTCTAGAAAATTATTTGCAATTAATATTTCATTTCAAATCCATTACCACAAAAAATCTTCTTACAGTTATACTACATCTGGAAATTAGTAATAACAACACTTAACCTGTACCTTCAAAACTAATTGCTTCTTCTAAGACAAAAGCCAGATGAGATATTCATCACTTGAAGTGCTCCAGCTAGAAATAGAAAGGGTGCCAGTGAAGGGCAGGGCACTTTTTTATGATAGGAAAAGGCACTTCTCATTTCTTTTGTTTACGTTTCTATGTGTATCACGAGTTCACTTTTTTTCTTTTTACTGTATATGTTGTTAATAAAGATGCATATGTTGTACTGTTACACCACTGTCCCAGGTTATGTATGTGCCTGTCCCAAGTCAGGAGCCTGTAATTCAGTGGTTGTCGTTTGTTTATGTGTTACATATTTGTTTTTCGTTCATTTTTGGTACATAAATTAGGCCGTTAGTTTTCTTGTTTGAATTGTTTTACATTGTCATTTGGGGGCCTTTTATAGCTGACTGTGCTGTATGGGCTTTGCTTATTGTTGAAGGCCGTACGGTAACCTATAGTTGTTAATTTCTGTGTCATTTGGTCTCTTGTGAAGAGTTGTCTCATTGGCAATCATACCACGTCTTCTTTTTTATATAAGTTGTTGTTTTGATTATTTATTCTATAAAATTTGCATTAGAAAAGTCATTCATACTACATGTTCATAAAACATGGCAATACACATTCATACATCAGATCACTATTAACCAAAAGAAGCTAAATAAACTTACTATTATCGCCCCCCTTGGAAAAAGGTGTCAGGGAGGGGAACAATTGAAGGCACCCAGGGCGTGGCTAAGGGCACCAAGGGTGCGGCACCCGTCTATTTTGGGCTAAAGAGACCACTGTCTTCTATACATATAAGATGTAATATTCTCATATTTGAACGGCCAACTATAGTAGTCAGAGGCGGATTTAGAGAGTTTTTCAGGGGACCCCCCCTTTTGTGGGAAAACTTTGGTTGATCATATACATGAAGTGAATCACTGAAGCATGACTGGAGTGGGCCCCCTCTTATGAAAATTTCTAGATCTGCCACTGGTAGTCTATTTTGTCAAGCAGTAATCTTCAAAAGTAAATAATACGCGTTTTTCTTATCAACTTGATTATAACCTTGCTAACTATTACATAACTGTCAAGACACAGTATGCATGTTAAAACTACTTGCATTGTCATAAAGAGTAAACAATCATATTCCACAAAACAAACAAAAAAGTGTTTGTATCGTTACTCTAGCTATTACAAACCATATATATTATCATATGTGACTATCAAGCCTCCTCCAATGATAACCCTGATTCACCAATACTACAACTAAAATCAAAAACCAGGAGAAAAAAGACACTATATATTCTAATGCTTGGAGTGCAAGATTCCAATAAAAAAAACCTATACCCACAAACCACCAATAAGCAGCTAAAATACGGCAAGCTTTTTAGAAAAGCTATTACTTGTGTATCATAACAGTTACTTGGTACGCGATGTGGTATCGGCCGATCATAACTTATATGCGTTACCTGTCTATCATAAAAAAAAATATGCAATGGTGTGAAGGCAATGCAAATCGTCCATCTGTACATTTCTTTAAAATTGTTCGAAGGTTTCAATATCATTGATCAGTTCGATAATAAGCATATTAGTAAACATCCTGTTGAGAGACTTTCAAAATATCCAATGCAATTAAATTATGTTTGTACTAAGGGCACGTGTGCTTGCTCAGTACCGATTCTTTCATTATTTTGCTCACAGCTTCTTTAACTCCTTAGTGATACTTTAGTTGGTAAAGTACATCATTTAAAAAACAACTCGTCTCAATGTGCGTGTATTATTCGTCGCTGGAAGTTAGATTCAATCAATCCATCTATTTATCAATCTGTCCGTCACAGCTATGGTGGTTGGCAATATAATAGTGATATGTTTTGATTTAAGATGTCATAATAAAAGATACACGAGTTGATAGCTTTCATTAGTTCAGTGATGTTATTTGTAAATTTAATAAAATATTAAATCTTTTTGTAGGACGTTATAAATCAATACCATCGACTTCAAAAACAGTGTAAGAAATATGAAAATATACTAACATTGCATCAGCTACGATTTTCACAAAAAAATAACATACGATTTTCTTTGTTTCAAACAATTATTAAAGTGAGAAAAAAGTAAAATAACATAAAGTCCCTTATCAAATGGCAAAATCAAAAGCTCAAACACATCAAACGAATGGAAATCAACTGTCAAACTCCTGAATTGTGAACCAATATATCACTATAAGCAGTCAGTTTGTTTCAATTTTGTCAAAATAAGCTATAAAGAAGATCGGTGATGTATTCTTGACTTCATCTTGCAAGATAATAATTCAACTTTTTATAAGAGTTATTCCCCCTAATTGTCGAGTTGTACCACTTCATGGAATTTTGGTCAAAACTATAACTGATACCTAAAAAAACGGACTCGTTTAAAGTGATAAACAGGACAAGATCTACATTTTTTTCCAATCATGACATAAATTGAAAAACGGTAAAACTTTTCCTAAATCGTGTACCCAATAAAAGCTATCATAGCAAATTCAGTGTTTTGATAGAGAATTGTTTGTTTTAATTTTCTTGTATACATAATAACTTGAACATGTAATTTATTTTAATATAAAGTTCTTCTTTCGCTTTGGAAACAAACCCATGTTCTATTTACAATAAATCATGGACTGCACGTGATTGACAATTGAAACGTCAATTGTATTTTGAACAACGCTGGAGATCGAAAAGGACATTTTTGTTAATGTTGTTCGCTCGGAATTTAAATATAATCATTCTAAAAGTAAGTTTACATATATAATGCTAATTTTTGTTATCGTTAAACTGTTGATTTTATGTAACTTGTTTAGTTAATCAAATCAAAATGACTGTCTTTCGAACGTGTATTATAGGTCATCCCGAAGTACAAAAGTTTAAAATTTTCCTGTCAGTATCGAAATAATTCTATCATGCCATGCTCTATGCTCATTTTAACATGGGAAGGCATCATATGTATGAATATTTTTTTAAATTATAAAATATTCCATAATATTTTCAAGTCAACATTCATTAGAATAAAAGGTCACAAAATTCTGTCTATGAGCTGATAGACAAAACACTTTCCTTTCAGCCAACCAGAAGACGTGTTACATTCAAAATTAAATTATTACATGATCTTAAATAATATTTTCAAGGCAACATGCATTAAATTAAAAGGTCGCCTTTTAACGTTTATATCGTAATTGTGCAATATACATTTGAAACCAACATAAAAAAAAACATTATGCACACACAGGGAGGATATATAAGGTGTAAGCTGTTGAAAAGCGGTTGTAGACATGTAAATAAACGATACAAAAAACGCAATATAAAAAAATGACAACAGAACACTGTACGGAAACAACTTGAAACTTAAGCAGACGATGCCCCAACACTAAACGGACGATGACATAATAAAAAAAAGTGTTATTTTTATATTACAGGGAAATATTCAGAATCACCATCAGCAGATGAACTCTTCAAGAAATTTGTAATGGCTGGAATTGACGTTCATCAACATAATCTATCTGGAACATATACATTATTATTGGCGGTTTCTCTTGGTGCTGAAGATATTGTAACAGTTATTTTGGATAAAGGAGAGGATGTAAATATCGTGGATCAGTCTGGAGAAACATCGTTAACTAAAGCTATTTCTTATGGATTAGAAGATATTGCCAAATTGCTGATACATTATGGAGCAAATGTAAACCAGATCTGCAAAAGATCAACTAGATTTCATACAGAAAACAGCCGAGGTAACATCTCTTTCTTTTAAACCATTTTATAAATGCATGTTTATAAAATATACATTGAATACTGTACTGTATGAGATTGCATCAGATTCTACAAAATTAGTATTTTTTCTTACTTGTTTTTGGGAGAAACTTCCAAAATCTTTTAATAATATATGTTACACTATATATAGATATTTATGTTTTTGTATTGTCTGAAAAATTGTTTCATTTCACTCGAGGTATATTGTGTCATGAACACAAAAATGTGTACTAGTTCAGTGAAAATGAACGTCTCACTAAACTCCGAAACATATAAATGAACTAAAATTAAAAACATATGTCATGGAAAGCCTATTAGGTCAAAATAATATTGCAATTCTAATAAATATTACATGTTTGCAACGCCATACTGAAATTCCAATTTTCCACCTGGAACTCAGTAATTCTAGTTTAATCTTGGCTTTCCATACGAGCTGCATGATATATTTGTTATATGAAAATTATTTTCAATATGAAATTTGCAACATTGAATATTAGTAAAATGTACATTTTTGTTTCGAACTTTGTAGTATGAAAATTTGTATTTTGCATTTCTATTAATTTAAACGTGCAATGTTTAGTTAATTACGTGAACTTGTAAATAGACATTTTTGCTGACGTGAAGTGGAAAGTTGAGGTGAAAGAAATCAAAGGGAAATTTAAACTCACAAGTCAAAAATAAACTGACAACTCCATAAAAAAAGACCAAAAGACAAACAACAGTACACAAAACACAACATAAAAGACCAAACTGAGCAGAACAAACTCCACCAAAAAACATGGGGTAATCTCAGGTGATCCGAATGAGTAAACAGGTTCTTCTCCATGTGTGTTACCCGTCGTGTTGCTCATGTAAGTACAAACCCGATGATAAGTAGTTCGGTAATCCACATTCGAAAACAAGAGGGATTGTGATTACGAAAATTTGAACATATCCGTCGTCATCTGTGAAAAAGATATTCCTTAACGGTCAACCAACTCATAATGACATCCTTATAATTTAAGAAGGGATGATTTCAACCTTACCACGAATAGCTTCCCTCAGCGGTATTTGAACCCTTGCTTCTGTGACATCGTGGAAAAACCGCCTGCATCATGTCCATCTTCCTTAACAACTTGACTACTTAGGCTACATAATGATATAGCTTTTGGTGGTTGATGTAATGCCAATCTCCGTCGGCCTAATCAATACATGTTTAGATTCAGCATATCAAAAAATCCTTGAATTTAACTTTTAGTTCACATCCTTTGGACATAATTAGCTTTACTAATTGCTCTGTTTCTTATTCTAGCCTGTATTACGTTCGACATTAGTATCTTGGAGTCTGTGGATGGGATCAGTTATAAAAGTGGGGACCAGTTTGAGATGTCTATATTATCGAAAGTGATAACAAACATTCCATTGTCATTTGCGAAAAGAAGATATTTTGCTAGTTTACTTTTAGAGCATGGAGCTGATCCTAATTTAGAAAAGTGTGATGTTGATTCGTGTTTAATGCACGCTGTAAGATATGGCGATCCTGTGTTGGTAAAGACTCTACTTGAGGCTAGTGCAGAAACAAATCATATTGGAAACAATGGATACACAGCTTTGCATGTCTTTTTCTCAACATTTCATAGATCTGCAGGTATAGTTTTAATTATTATTAGTTTCGTAATTATATCATTTGGCATGTATGCAACATCTAAACAATTATGCTGTAATTCTAAAAGCGATGCTGATGATAGATGGATTTTTAATGTCCTATTCCAAATTGGATTCATATTCAGGACAAGCACATGTAAATGTGATATGATTATGTACCCTGCTTTGTATAAGATCGTGCTAGTTCCAAGGTACCAATCCGTAGGGAAAATTACTCTGCCCGATCACATTATTCTTTTACTTAAAGACCACGTGCTTAGTAGAAAAGCAGCAAATACCAAAGTTCCTTGTGAATGTATATCCAGAAAAGCGCAGAAGAGCGATTTGGACGCATGGAACTTATAGCATGTTGTCTTTTTTTCCAAGACTACTTTGACCCTTCAGCCGGGAATCGAACCAACGACCTTCCGTACTTCCTTGGAGAAAAAAAGGTTTACTTAGGTTCAACTGCTTAATAATTTTGACAGAATCTTACAGGAACAAATGTAATGACGTTTACAACCATTGAAATATATAACAGGAAATGGGATACATGTTGTAGGATTGCAAACTATCTAACATGTATTCAAGTCCAAATAGTTTACTGTAACATAAAGTGGGGTGTTTTTTTTAAGAGAAAAAACAAAACGCTACTCTAATTTGTCACCAGTCTGTTTATCTGTCCATCTGTTTTCAAATTTGCACAGTTGTTGAATATGCTTTGCCACGTAGATGTGCTTTTTTTAAAGACAGTTTTTGTCAAAAATTCAGAATTTTCAGACATTCTGTGTTAAGATAGATTGCAACGAATTGAGATAATGGTAATAAAAAAGAATAATTTAGTGTTATGTTTTTATAGTCCGTCAGTATATTAGTTTTTATGACTTGGTTACACATTTCTTTTCTATTATTTCATAACTATGTTATTAGTTAATACAAATTACGCCATAACAGATTAGTATTTTTTTTTTAGATAAAGAAAACGGTTCAACAATTCTCAAAATGTTGCTCGAGAATGGTGCAGAAACTAACGTATCGTCGACTGACGGAGACCTGCCTGTTCACAAAGCTCTTTCAAATTGCAAGATACCCGATAAATTTTATGACAATCTAGGGGATATAACGACGATAATAGACTTAGCTAAAGATTTAAATGTACCGAACAAGAATAAAAGTACACCATTTCTATATAGCTAGCGGTTACAAAGTTTTGTTGCCTAGATGTTATGAAAAAGATGGTAGAGAATGGTGATGATGTAAGATCAAAAGGAACAAATGGTAACACGGCTCTTCATGTTGTCATGGGTAAGTTTATTAACATTGCAATAAGTTACAATTCAGACACTTTTGCACAATCTATAAATGTAGTTTTTGTGTAGAACATCTGAATATTGATTTAAAAACTACCACTATTCATTCAGGACAAATATCAATTAATTTGGAGAAAAGTGCATTTTGATGATATTTTTTCGTTAAATAATCAAAATTTTTATAAATATACTGCCGATATTTTACTCAAAGGAACTGACTTTGAATAATCAAATATACACAACAATAATTATTCTGTTCTAGATGTAGATATGTCAGTTTTACACGGGAAGATATTACGACAACAGGGACAATTTTTCGTTCCTTATTGGTAATTTTCCTCTTTTGGACAGTGATGTGACTTTGGAACAATCGTATGGTGTTCATACAAAATGTATTTCCCAAGTCGTTTGCTATGCCCGTGTCTGTTTTGACGTTTTTGATTTCAATCAACTTAATCTATGTATTCTTTAAATTTCGGTAACACGAAATTACTAAAACCTTTACTAAATTCTTTCAGAGATTCTAAAATTTGGCTTGGAGGTTTAGTATCACAAACGGGATAGCATGTCCTAATTTGTACGCTTATGTTGGTTATAGCCGAGCTTTTAATTAAGATCCGGGTAAACTTGTCGATCCTTTGCATAATTTTATTCTGAAAGGTTACCAATTCAACAGTGTCATTAGATCTTTGAATATTATTTTAATCGTGATAAATGTTAATGTTGTTATCAATTTATTAAAACCAAACTTAATGTTTTTTGTAGAAAGAATATCTACAATCCTATAATCTGACGATGTCTATATTTTGGCATTTCGCAAAGTCATGATATTCTGTAACAGTCAATGATGTCTTTAAACTTATTCTATAGGATGTAAGGTGTGTACTGATTGATATTTTAGGCTTAGATGGATGATTTTGTATAAGTTGTTATTGACTTAGAAATAGCTCTCAGTAACTGCGAGTAGTACACTTAGATCTGAACTTTGTTTCCTTTGTGTTTTTGATAAGGTTTTTAGCTCACCGGGACCCGAAGGGCCCCATGTGAGCTTATGCTATCACTTGGCGTCCGTCAACGTCCGTCGTCTGTCGTCGTCTGTCGTCTGTCGTTGTAAACTATTTAAAAAATCTTCTCCTCTGAAACTACTGGGCCAAGTACCTTCGAACTTTAACTAAATGTTACTCAGGGTATCTAGTGTATAAATTGTATCCGAATTTTTGATCAATAGACAAACATGGCCGCCATGGCTAAAAATTGTGGTCAAATGCAGTTTTTGGCTTATATCTCAAAAACTAAAGCTTTTAGAGCAAATCTGACATGGGATAAAATTGTTCAATTGGGTAAAATCTATCAGCCCTGAAATTTTAAGACGAATCGAACAACCCATTGTTGGGTTGCTGCCACTAAATTGGTAGTTTTAAGTTTTTTTTTTATTATTATCTTGAATATTATTATAGATAGATATAAACTGTAAACAGCAATAATGTTCAGCAAAGTAAGATCTACAAAAAAGTTAATATGACCAAAATTTTCAATTGACCCCTTAAGGAGTTATTGCCCTTTAAAGAAAATTTTACACAATTTGTTTATCAAGTTTGCTAACATTTAAAAAACTTCTTCTCTGAAACTACTGGGCCAAATACCTTCAAACTTGAACTAAATGTTGATTAGGGTATCTGGTTTATAATTGTATCCGAACTTTTGATCCCTCGGCAAACATGGCCGCCATGGCTCAAAATAGAAATAGGGGTCAAATGCAATTTTTGGCTTATATCTCAAAAACTAAAGTTTTTAGAGCAAATCTGACAAGGGGTTAAATTGTTGAATTGGTCAAGATCTATCAGCCATGAAATTTTCAGAAGAATCAAACAACCCATTGTTGGGTTGCTGCCACTAAATTGGTAGTTTTAAGGAAACCTTTATAAACTGTAAACAGCAATAATGTTCAGCAAAGTAAGATCTACAAAAAGCTAATATGACCAAAATTGTCAATTGACCCCTTAAGAAGTTATTGCCCTTTAAAGACAATTTTACACAATTTGTTCATCAAGTTTGCTAACATTCAAAAATCTTCTCCTCTGAAACTGTTGTGCCTAATACTTCTTAATTTTAAATGGATGTTCTTTTAGGAATCTAGTGTATGAATTGTATCCGAATTTTTTATCCATCAACATACATAGCCGCTATGGCTAAAAATAGAACATAGGGGTCAAATGCAGTTTTTGGCTTATATATCAGAAACTAAAGCATTTAGAGTAAATCTGACATGGGGTGAAAATGTTTGAAAGGTCAAGATCTATCAGCCCTGAAATTTTCAGACAAACCGAACAACCAATTGTTGGGTTGCTGCCACTAAATTGGTTATTTTAGTGATATTTTGCAGTTTTTGGTTATTATCTTGAATATTATTGAAGATAAAGATAAACTGTAAACAGCAAAAATGTTCAGCAAAGTAAGATCTACAAAAAAGTTTTTATATGACCAAAATTGTCAATTGACCCCTTAAGGAGTTATTGCCCTTTAAGGACAATTTTACACAAGTTGTTTATGTTTTTTAACTTTAAAAATCTTCTCAAATAAATCTTGTATAAATTTTGTATTTTTTATTTCCTTGTACGTCAAGAAACATAGACACTATGGCTAAAATGGAACTTATGGGTAAATTGCATTTATTTGCTTTTGAAGGAAATAGGACAGATACAATGAACATTTACATTGCATTTTTAAGCCACTCATTAATATATATTGAAAAGCAAAGATAATCATTGATGAAAGATTTAAGCAAACAAATAACAGGTGAGCGATTCAGGCTTTTGAGAGCCTCTTGTTTTTTGTTTTTTTTTTTGTGCTCGGTATCAATCTGATGAGTATGGCCCTTCTCATCTGAATTTTATATTTTGTTCTTGTGTTGTACTGTTACACTACTGTCCCAGGTAAGGGGAAAAGTTTGGCGCAAGCAAACATGTTTAACCTGAACACATTCGTACATGCCTGTCCCAATTCAGGAGCCTGCTTTTCAGAGATTGTCGTTTGTATATTATATATCTTTGTCTTTATTGTTTTATACATAATTCGGGCCTTTAGATTTCTTATTTGAATTGTTTTATATTTACCACTTGGGGCCCTTTTACAGCTTCCTATGGATATGTTTTTTTTTTTGCTTATTGTTGAAGACCGTACGGTGACCAATAAGTGTGAACGTCTGCGTTATTGAGTTTCATTGGCAATCTTACACAATCTGTTTATTTTTAATGGATGATTACATGTAAAGACAGCAACCATTATTAAATAATGCAAACCATGTATTATCTTGCATTATTAGGATATCAATAAATTAAGGCAACAGTTATTCACCGTAGGTCAAATCACAAGAAACATTTCAATAATTTTCGATAGGATTTGTGTTCCCATCGTTATCTGCTTTATATTATGTTTTGTATATTTTTGTTTGTGTTTTGATCTTTTTGTTTGTCTTTTACTATGACATTGCCTATTTATTTTCTACTTATGAGTTTGAATGTCCCTTTTGTATATTTCGACACTACCTGTAAAGATACATATCGAGAACGGACGCGTCGATAGGATAATCCATACGATTCCACAATCGGGAATAAGAGTTTACATGTAATAATAACACATTATGAGGTAATACAACTGTTTTGATTTTTGAGTGCCTGTTAGTTTTTTGTTTGTTCTTCTATTAATTTCAAACAAAAAACCATTTTATAAATATTTAATTAACTATTTTGAGAACACTAAAAAGTTGTCACTTGGAGGACATTTTCATATGTGGTCATTATTATATCAAACATTTTATAGAGCGCGGGTTTACACGGAAGTTTGATATAAAAAATGGAACGTTATACCCTGAATAAATACATAGTTTCAACTTGTTTCTTCGTTGCCGCCACATGATATAAGCATTGTAAATGCTCGTATTTAAACAAAATTATTTCTGGTCATAAACATGTCTGTCGGTTTTTTATTAAATCTACTAATCCCCATATTCAAAATGTTGAATTTCGTTTTGTGCATTACATACACATGTACTTACTCCCACAGCACTTGCTGTCGGTTTTTTGTGTAGTTTGCTGTATACAATGTATGATATTGTATACACATGTATGTCTGTGAATATTTTCTGCGAAACAAGTGGTGAGATTTAACATTATGTTCAATATGGTAAACATATTAAAAAAATAGTAACTATACTTTTTTTTACAGAGAGGAAGACGTTCAGAAAATATGACAAAGATATCATATCTTTTCTATTATCACATGGAGCAGATATTAACGACGTTAACGACTTTGAAGAAACGCCACTAGTTAAATTTATTAAAAGAGGAACATTGTATGTCACAATTCCACACGTATTATTCTTGCTTAAAAATGGTGCCAATCCAAATGTCTGCGCCGACGGAATTAATTCTGCATTACTGGAGGCGATTGCATTTCCATCGTTTAAAGTTGCTGCTGTTTTGATAGATGCAAAGGCCAATATAAATCATATCGAAAAAGATGGAAATACAGTCCTTCAAGCTGTGTTTTCTAAAGGTATTTTCCTACACGCTTTGTCAAATCAAATAGTCTTGATATTAAAACTGTTTTTATTATAAAACATTAATTAAGCTTTTTGATTTAATTCATAAAATTCCACGGTTTCAATACTACAAATGGATAATGTCAGATCTTCAATTGTACACTCTCGTTGCTAGAAGCATTTGTTTGTTTTGCTTTTTTTTATAAGATCATGAACGACAAATATTATTGCAAGGAATCTTTCTTAGTTCAGGAGGTTGATATTTCTTTTGTTTAAAGTATTTCCTGGTCTTTTGTGATGATTACTGTTTCCCTGTATTTATTGGAATAAAATCACGCTACTTTGTG